TGGGCACAAATATGGATCTCTTCCAGTCAGTTGGCCAGGTAGCTGTCCTCCAAATCTCTCTTCAGTTTATAGGTAGGTGAAAATGAATGAGTAATTATACTTAAGATAAATAAATAATCAAGTACCAGACAAACTGCTCTGTGAGTTACAACTTTCACGAAAAACCAGTAGACAGAGATATTTTCATTTGAATCAGTTCCTAACTGGGCAATGCAATCATTTTAGATAATTTTTACTTTGGAGTTAGAGAACTGGGTTCCTGTCCTGACTCTGTACTTACTAACTTTATAACCTTAGGTAAGTTATTTAACCATTCTGCAGCTCAGTTATCTCATCTATAAAATGTGAATACCTTATGGGACATATGTGGAGATTAAATATTAACATACATGAAAATGCTTTGTGTATTCCCATTTCCCATAATTATTTTTAATATTAAAGAATAAAAAATAGGCAACTCAAAATGTAAAAGTTCCTTTACTTGGTCGCTCACATCTGCTTCTGAGAGAAAGGAGAAAGGGGCAGAAAGATTGGAACCCAGCTTTATTCAGAAACTCTTAACCTCACAAGAAGTAATAAATAGGAGTGAATGAGAGAATAAAGGGAGCTAACTTAACAAGACTTACCACCTTACACCTCCAGCTGACTGTTCTACATATTTTTTCTTTTTGACTTAGCTTCACTGACACCACTGCTCTCTAGCCCTTGCCACCTAAATTGAGATCTATGGACCAGCAGCATTAGCATCACCTGGGAGACTTTAAAAATGCAAAATCTCAGCCTTATCTCAGACTTAAAAAACCAAAAAACCAAACTCACTGCCGTCCAGTCAGATCCAACTCATAGCAACCCCTCCGTCAGTTTCCGAGGAGGTATCACCATGGAAGTAGATTGCCCAATCTTCCTTCCAAGGGGTGGCTGGTGGTTTGAACTGCCAGTCTTCTGGTTAGCAGTCAAATGTCTTAGCCACTATGCCACCAGAGCTCCCTCACCTCAGACATACTGAATGCAAATCTGTATTTTAACAAGATGATTTTTTAACAAGATAACATATTTTAACAGGGTGATTCAACAACTTGGAGGAACACTAACCTAAGCCACAGGGAGACAGTAGTGGTATTTTATGTTTCCTGAAGGAGAGCACTACCATGAGTTTATCATGAATTAATATGATTACACAGGCTATTAAAGTGCTCAGCTGCCTAACCAAAGGGTCAACAGTTCAAACCCACCAGCCACTGTGCAAGAAAAATATGTGTCATTCTGCTTCTGTAAAGGTTATAGCCTTAGAAACCCTATGGGGCAATTCTACTGTATCCTATAGGGTTGCTGTGAGTCAGAATAAACTCAACAGCAGTGGGTTGCCATGCTGTTGTAAACAAGCTACTACTATCACCAAGAAGGTCAGAAGAAAGCCTGTAATTCAACCTCAAAAATTAAACATATAGCCAGATTCAAAGATTCATATTTCTTCTTTAAGAAGATATGTCTAGAAGATGGCAGCCTAGGCAGATATACTACCCAAACCCTGTACAACGAAGAACTGAGAAACTAAGTGAAAAGGATATGGAGGACAATCGTGGAACCCAGAGCTTCAAAGGAAAGGATAAAGGAATAGATCTAAAACCAATTAGAGGAAGAAACTGAATGAAAACAGTGAACAAGGAGGCATATGGATTGATGAACTGTCAACTGGCCTGGCACAGCACAGCCTATTTGAATTATTGCAGGAAGTATTCTGATTGGGGGAGGAACAAGATAACTAGCTCCACTGGACCAGGACTACACCTACACCCACATCGCTAATTGGCAGCAAAAGAGGTGTGATCTCCCCTCTTATCCTGCACACTCTCTCAGTGACTAGAGGGGCAGCAGCACCCCCATGCCCACCTACTCAGTGGTTAGTCAAATGCCCCCCATTGCCAGTGCTATGTGTGCTTTTTCTTTTTTTCTTCCTCTCATCCCCTCTTTTGTTTTCCCTATCAACTGGGAACCAGAGACTCTACTCAGTCATATCCAATATGCCCACCCACTGGGCAAGTCCCACCACCTGCTTCAGCACCACTGGATCAACAAGATGCATTGGAAAGGTAAAGGAGTAGAACTGCATCAATCAAAGACACAATTAGTGAAACTGAAGACAAATCTCTTAAATTAGATGAAAATAATAAAGAACAACAACAAAAAAGAACACCTGCTCAGTCTGCCCTAAGTTGCTCTACATAACCAGTGATTAGAGACTCCTATCCACACTCCCATCCTCTACAAAAGTCACCTGGAGAAAGGTAGTGAGTGTTTCAGTGCTGCCAAACTAGT